TCTTTGGGCCCCAGGGCCCACTGAGGCCCCAGGGGCCCCAGATTCGTGAAGTGATGTTTTTTCCCACGTAAAGACCCCGAAATTCATCACTTCACTAAACCGAGCCCAGGACAAAAGTCAGAGGCCGAATTGCTGCTGTGATGCAACATCGGTCTCGTATCGGGGCCACGACACGGCCCTCCCTCAGAGGGGGCCAAAGGCTCACCACGAGGTGCGAGGCTTTCGGGCGCTTCCGCCGCTCGTCGGCGGCCCGCCAGCTTCGGGATGCTTCCCAGCGGCTGCGCCTCGCCGGCGGCTTTCTCTGGGGCTGCCCGAACCGTGCCGGACGGCCGCCGGAGAGCCGAGGTACGACCCGAAAACCGAAGGGCATCGAGGAGGAACAGGCACCGACACCGCTACCCCTCCCTCGTTTTCCCTTCGCTTCGGGCCTCCTAGGAGGCCCTCGTCGCCAGCGCCGGATTGGCCTCGAGATCCTGGTCAGGCTGCGTCCCGGGAGAGGTTTGGGAGGAGCGGTACTGGTACCACTGAGTTTCCCCACCATCAGTCGTCGCTCTCTTCCTCCTCCACCTCATCCCCCATCCATCCATCTGGCCCTCCTCCATCCTGGCCCTCCTCCTCCTCCTCATCCTCCTCATCCTCCTCCTGGGCAAGCATAAAGATTGCATTGCACTTGTTCCGGATCCAACTCCTGGGCAAGCGTAGCGGCAGACACAAGTCTTTCCACCACCCGCGCTGGGCCTGCAGCCGGAGGTGCACGTTGCAAAATCATTCCCAGCGCGGAAAGCTCCCACGACCTACGTAGCGCGAGTAATTGGAACACGTGGTGTCGCTCGGACGTGTGATCGTTTTTTCGGCGAGGGCCATCGAGGAGCATGTCGGACCATCTTGCAAAACATACACGCACGAAACCGAAACATGCACGGGGAAAACGCCCGAGCGATGGCCAGACGACCGAGCGCGAGCAACTGGGAAAGGATATCCAGCAAAACAGTAGCACAGAAGACGCAGAGACTGAATGCAGCATTGAGCCTCTGGAGCCGAAGAAAAAATAACGCCATAAACACAAACTTTCGGCGCTCCGCGCGGATTTCTTGAATCCGCGCTGGACACCCCCCCCAGCGGCGCCTCCGGCGCGGCCCCTGGCGCGCTCCACGCGCCTGGGAGGGGACCCAAGCGCAGATCCAAGATCTTCGCGCGGAGCGCCCAAAGTTTATGTTTGTGGCGTCTTTTCTTCTGCCATGAAGCAAGCAAAGCAAAGGTCCGATCGGACGCCTCAAAGCGTCACGCCCCACTTGTTAGGACGGCGAAAACTGTAAAACAGGCCTGCCATGGCGGGCAACGCTGGCGGCGAAGGAGAAAAATTCGGGCTTCCATGAAGCCCCTGGACACAACAGATGGCTCCGTCGAGCCTCCATGCGCCCGCGCAAGCCTGGTCTCCCGACCGCTTTTGCCCCGCCTCTGGGCTCGCGAGGGGGGGGGCCCTGGGGCCGAGAGGGGTGCCAGGCGTGCGGCAGCAGAGGCCCCCCACAGGGGCCGTAGCACACGACCCTCAAAAGGCTTGGCATCGCTCGGACGTGTGCATTTTGTCCTCGGCGAGGACCTTGGAGGAGCATCCTCGACCACTTGGCGAAAAAACCGCGCACGAAGCCGAACAAAACACAGGAAATGGACGTCCGAGCGATGGCCAGAAGGGCCCCCGGCTGGGCGGGGAGCGCGGAGAGAAGAACGACGGTGAGCTGTGAGCCCGTTGAGCACGCGGCACGTCCTGCGTTCCCCCCAGCCCGCTGCGGGGGAGGCGAAACATTTCTGTTATGTACAGTCGGGGCATTGACATTAGGCCCCTATTTTCCAGAAGTTGAACTTCGATTTCCGATCGAAAACAGAAGGAAAACCTGAGGCAAGCTGTGAAACACGTAAGGAACGCGGAGCCCCTCCCCAACCAAAAGGGTTCCTTCTTCAGGGCCCCGACTGTAATGCTGTCCTTCCTCTCCTGTTGCTGCGCCTCGATGTCAGAGGCCCAACGAGCAGCGCCACTGCCACGCGAGCCGCGGGCCCCACGCACCAGCGGGCGTCTCGGGCTCCTCGTCGTCGGGAGCGGCCGGCACGGGCGCGCCGCAGCAGTGGCAGGTCCTGCGCCAGCTGAAGCTGCTGGCGAACCTGCACTGGTTGACGCCGGACGTCCACGCCTGCTGACTCCACGGTTGCCGCACGCAGCCATTGAGCCTGACGGGACGCATCGGGCACGGCGCAGACTGAACGCAGGCTCCGTCGGAGCAGGAAGAGTCCCTGGCAGGGGTGTGAGGCAATGCGTCTGGGCGCCCCCTCGATGGCTGTCGCACGCAGCGGAAACCTAAGCTTGAAGCCCCAGGACTTGGGGTTTCAGCCTTGAGACAAAATGGCTACGGTCCTCCTCCTCTTTTCCTCCTCATCCTCCTCCTCCCGCGCCCTCCTCCAAAACCCTCCTCCTGCTCCCTCCTTCCGATGCTCCTCACTAGTTTCCTCGGGATCCTCCCTTCCTCCTCCGTCGCCTCCCTTCACATTCTCGTCCTCCTCCTTGTCCTCCTGCTTCTTTTCCTCCTCCTCTTCCTCATCATCCCCGTCCTGCTCCTCGTCATCATCCTCCTCCTCTTCCTCCTCCTCCTCCTCCTCCTCCTCATCATCATCATCATCATCATCATCCCACTCCCCCCTCTCCCACTCCTCGTCGTCCTCCGCCTGCTCCCCCGAGTCATGTGCTCGAGCGGGTCTGATTCTGGAAAGCCTCGTACCGCGGAAGTTGTGGTCGGGGTTCCACCTGCCCGGTTCTTCCTCCGCCAAGGGAGGAGGAGGACGAGGAGAACACCCCCACTCTCCCCCAGGGCTGGACCTGAACGGTGTTTTAGCGATTTCGTGGGCCGTTTTCGTTTCGATGTCGTCTTGCGGCAAGGGCGGATTGAAGACAAACGAGGGAAAACGAAAACAGCACGGAAGCGAAAAACACCGTTGAGGTTCAGCCCTGCCCTCCCCTGCGAAGGAGCCCCCCTTTCCTCACCTGGCCCTCCTCGTTAGGACTGGCGTCGGTGCAGATGGGTGTGCTTAGCGCCCTCCCAGGAGACGGCGGCGCCGACGGCGCAGACCAGGATCTGCCTTTTTTTGTGCTCTGCGCGATCGTGGAGCGCGCTGCAGGAGGAGAACGAAGCAGACGGGGGGGGGATCAGGAGGGGGATCAGGTGGAGTGAGTCGTTCGATCGTTTGTGGGCCTCGCGGCTTTGTGGGCCCCGGAAGCGGCCGGGCCGTTTTTCCACCGGTTCCCCAGAAAGATGTCCCTTGAACATGGAAGCGGCAAAACATCGGCGACCGGAAACTGCAAAAAAACGGCTCCAGGATTGGAACAGGAGCCGGAACCGGTCAAACAACGGCGACGGAACTGGTAAAACAACGGCGTTGGAACCGACAACAAAAACGGCAAAACGGAACCGATAAAAAACGGCCCTGTCGTTTCCAGGGCCCACTAAGAACGGGGGGGGATCAGGAGGAGGATCAGGTGAAGTGAGTCGTTCGATCGTTTGTGGGCCTCACGGTATCACATCAGCATGGCCCCCCCAGTCCCGGAGTTGGAGATCGAGGCCAGTGTTGAGGTTGCAGGCGTTGAGGGCCCTAGGCTTGCGATCGGCAAGGTTTGTGTTTTTTGTTCCCCCTGAGCTCGGCTTGAGGTTGTGAGGGGGTAGCGGGTCTGATGCCGACGCTGTGATATTTCCAGTTGTCAATGAAACAGGGTCTGGGTTCGCGGTGGTGAGTGCCAAGGTTATCTTAACGAGTGTGGCATTCGTGTTCTGATTGCCCGGGATTCGAATGGCGTGTCTCGGGGTACCACCATCGTGTCTTTCGGTTCCCACCACGAGAACGAACGGGAGTACGAGGAGCGCGCGCTGGGCCAGCTCCATCGCCGCCGATACCCACCGCAGGGAATCTGGTTGCAGGTCCACGGCTTCAAGGAGTCCCCGAGCTACGGGGAGGCCGCCGAGCTGCTGCGACAGGGGGGCCGAAGGCGCGGACGACGATGGCGAGGCCGAGGCGCGGGCGAGCAGGCGAGGAGCTTGCCTGCGCTCAGACCCACCGAGCAGGAGCTCATGTGGCAGGGGTTGTGGCCGCACGCCGCGCGCCGCTCGGGGTTCACCATGACGCGCGCGTCTGGCCTGACCTCCACGCTGTCGCAGGGCCAGACGCTGCGCGAGGGCGTCGCCATCGACTGCGCCAGGGATGAGGACACTGGTCGCCCGGGCACGTCGGACCAGCAGTGGTGACTGCGCCTCTGCGTCATGTTTTCTCGCGCCGCGTGCGCGAGATTTCCCGGGGCGCGGGCCGCCCGTTCCCTTGCGGAAGGCGTTTGGGGTGTTCGACCAGAGAGCGGTGAACGCCAGGGCTGAGGCGGAGCAGCCCGCGGCAGAGGTGGGTTTCGCGCTGTCTCGCGCTTGCGCGCGGCCGCGATTAGCTCGAGCCCTGCGGGTATGTCCCAACTGCGTGCACCCGCGCTCCGCCGGCTCGCGGCGTTGCCTCAGCGGCCTGGCCCGCGGGTTTGCCCCGACGGCTTCGCGACCCAGCCATCGGACAACGCGCCTTTTCGGGCATTGGCGGTGAAGGGGCAGAGGAAAACCAACATGCGTGCCCTGGCTGGAAGGACGAAGAGGCACATGAGGAAAACAAGAAAGATGGGGATGAGGAGGAAGATTATGAGGAACACGTTGAAGAGGAGGAGGAGGAGGAGGAGGCGTAAAAAACACGAGGAGGTGGAGTAACAAATATGGAACGAGGAGGACCAGGATGAGAGGGGGAACGGAAAACGGGAAGGATGAGGCGCAATTGAGGGTGGGAAGAGGATTTCCGCCATGGTGACAAGGAACAAACGAGGGGCAAACGAAACACGCCGTCGGAGTATTCATCCTTTCGGAACCCCAGACTTCATCATCCCTATTGTGTGATTGCCCAGGGCGTTCGTTTAGTTTGCATCCCCAGTGCGGTCG